GCCCACCTTTTCCGGTAGTGGCAGAGCTCTGTCACAAGCCCCAGAGCGCAGAAGGCATACATTCCGGAAGGCCCGCGGCGCAGGAGCGGAAGTCAGGCCCCCGCCAGTCTCCGTCATTTGCTCGAGTGGCTCCATAGCGCAGGCGCAAGGACGCAGTAACGCGGTGACGCAGATGCGCTTCCAAGGGGCGGGGTAGTTCTAGAAGAACTACGCGCGAGAAAAAGGAGGCGGGAGGGCGCAGCAAGTTCTTAAAGGGGAGGTGGCTCCCGGGCAGGAGTCTGAGACAGAGGCGTAGAAAGAGGTTTTGATCTGGGCATCAGTTCCTTGGCCACCAGGAGGCTCGCGGCCTATGTACAGCCCCTGTACATCTGCTAAGAAAGCTCAGAAGGGTGTGTGGGCGCAAGTCCGCTGGGGAGGGGTTGGCCCACCTGCCTGACTGAGTCAGCTGACCAACCCCAGGCCGGGCCATCCTAAGAGACACAGGGCTAGGCTGTCCCACGGTAGTGGTGGTTGCTTTGATTGGATATTTTTAAGTATCAGCTCTGTCTCGGCATAGAATGATTTTAAAGGATATGAAGGCTCACAGCTGAGTTATTTGCATCCTTCAAAAGCTGAGCTTGCTGCAAACAGGAGCAAGCAGTTGCATGCCAACAAGTCACAGGGAGTCCCTTCTGAGAAGGAAATAATACTAGATGCAGATTCTGAGCAACTGAAGAACTAACTGTAAATGATAGAGATAATTTCAAATTTCTTTTTTAAATCGCATTTCAATAGATTATGAAGTTTAATATTCAGGAAAAATTATGACAAGTTACTCAAGTAACATAGAGAGAAAAAATAGTAATATATATTCCAAGAGTTGTGTTCTTAGATAATTCAGTACACTACTTGAAGGTACACTGTGATAAACAGTCACACAGTATAATGGCACTTCAGTTAATGACAGACCAAATACAACACCTAATGACACATCAGGCTTTTAAGTTTTGTTTTGTTTTTTTTTGTTTTGTTTTGTTTTGGTTTTTGGTTTTTTGAGACAGGGTTTCTCTGTGTAGCTTTGGAGCCTATACTGGCACTCGCTCTAGGGCCCAGGCTGGCCTCGAACCCACAGAGATCCTGCCTCTGCCTCCCAAGTGCTGGGATTAAAGGTGTGTGCCACCGGTGGCTTTTAAGTATTCTATGATTACAAAACAATGTAACTGCCTAATGTCCCATTTCTCAGACCATAGCAACACCATCAAGTGAACCAACCCCTAAAGTAACAAAATGAATTAGATGCAAAAGGCTGGGGAGTGTGGCTTACTGATAGAGCATATATGAGGCCCTAGATTTGATCACACACACACACACACACACACACACACACACACACTCTCTCTCTCTCTCTCTCTCTCTCTCTCTCTCTCTCTCTCTCTCTCACACACACACACACACACACACACACACAAAGTAAGACTGCAAAGATAAATGGGACCAATTTAAAATAAAATGGATACAGGTGAAAGTTAGAAAGAACAGAACAGAGACATAGGAAACAAGTAGCAGGCCTGGTGGCACCTGCCTTTAATTCCAGTACTCAACTTTAATTCTTACTCAGGTAGCAAGGGCAGGTGGATGTTCAAGGACAGCTTGCTCTATATCGTGAGTTCCACTACAACCAGAGCTATTTAGGGAGATCCCGTCTCAACAATAATGGCAAAAGCCTGTATGGGGGGATAAGAGGAGCTTTATTGGCCATCAGGCCAGCAATTCAGAGATGTATACCTACCACTGGCACTGAGATTTTCATTCAGTAACCTATTTGTTCTTTTTTCCACCTACACAGACACCTGCATTCAAAGTGTTTAAATGCTATTTTTGCTGTTCTTCCAGATGCTTTGCCAAACTCATAAGACACTCAGGCTAGCATTAAATAGTGAGACCTTTATACAAAGGGTGGGCAGAAGCTCTGAAGCTTCACTGCCTTTCACTCAAAGCAATGAGAATTAGTCTTGGGACTCAGGAACTATGAGGAAACTACAAAAGCCAGCAAGATCTAAAAAATTAAAACAAAAAAACAACAAACAAAAGCAAAAGTATCACTTGCATCAGTTTTTCTGTCAAAAGAGCAATGTAGGGTACAGCAGTTTTGGGCACAGCAGAATAGATTGGAGTCACCATTCTGAACTCTATCCCTCCATGATCCATCAGTCTACTCAACCACACTTTCATGTTCAAAGGGCCTGGGCTAGAGAGATGGCTCAGCCGTTAAGGGCACCAGCTTTTCTTGCAAAGAACCTGGGTTCAATTCAAAGCCAACACCCACATGGGAATTGTGACTCACAAGTGTAACTCCAGATCCAAGCGATCTGATGCCCTTTTCTGGCCTCAGTGGACATTGTATGCATGTGGTACACATCATCTATATACACATCCAGGCAAACACTCAAACACATATTTTTTTTTCTAAATAGATCTTGGGGTAACATAGTAATCTATCAGCTTTATAGGCTCGAATTTACTCAAATACATCCCTCAAACAGAATTCTCCAAGTGGTTGTGTGCATGGTGTATTCCAGCAGTATTACCTTCCTGTTCTAATTTTTAAATATTTTGTTACTTGCATGTATGTGCACCATGTGTGTGTAACTGGTGCCCTAATTTAGAAGACATTGGATTTTGTGTAACTGGAGTCACAGATAGTTGTAAAGCACCATGTGGGTGCTGGAACCCAAACCTGGGTGCTCTGCAGGAGCAACAAATGCTCTTAACCACCAAGCCTTCTCTTCAGCCCCCAGCTCCACATTTTTTAAAATTTAATTTTATTTTATGTACATTGTAGCATGAGGGTGTCAGATCCCCTGGAACTGGAGTTACAGTTGTGAGCTGCCATGTGGTAGCTGGGAATGGACTCCGGGTCCTCTGCAGGAGCAGCCAGTGCTCTTAACCACTGGGCCATCTTCTCCAGCTACACAGTTCTCTTATAGGGGGAAATACACAGTGTACTAACAAGAGTGGGGAAGAATTACTAACCCGTAGAATAAGTTTAATCTTTTTTGCTAGTACTGTTCTATTTCTGTGTCCATCTGTTGCTGTTGCTTGTTCCTGGTGCTTGCCATAAACAAAAGTACACTTGGTCCCAGTATCCACTAAAGCCCAAGTTTTGCTTATTGGTAAGGACCAACAAACATGTAATTCAATGTGGGGCCTTGGACCACCCTGCCTGACCTCATGGGCAGGCAACATTGTCCGTCTTGTTAAGGGTGCAGTGGAGATTTGTTTTGTGAGAGCTCCTACCTCCACAGCAGTGGGAATACACTTAATACCTGAAGTTGCTCTCTAGCTTCCATGTGTGCACACACACCTATACACATACAAAATTGTGGTGGTTTGAATGAGAATGGCCCTCATAGGCTCATATTTGAATGTTTGGTCTCCACTTGGAACTGTTCAGGATCAGGTGTGGCCTTTCTGAAAGAGGTGTGTCACTGGGAATGGGTTTTTTTAAAAAAGCCCCTACTACCCTTAACTATCTCAAGATGTGACCATTCAGGTACTGCTCCTGCACACCTGCCTGCTGCCATGCCTTCCACCATGATGGTCACAGACTCTAATGCTCTGGAGCTGTGAGCCCTCAAATTAAATGCTTTCTTCTATAGGCTTCACCATTCAGTGTCTTATGGCAATAGAATTAACCAAGACAAAAACCTTGCAAATCAGTATCTTTATTTTGTCCCATTATGTTTCCTATCAAATCAGAGGCTAACATGGGAAATGTCACCTGCATGTCCTTTCCCATGTGTCGTTCCTCCCTCATGCAAGCTCCCTCAAGGCAGACAGCTCAGCTTCAGTTGTACATCTCATCACCCAAGGCAGGAATCCTGCAACTGCCACTACAGCAGAGGAGCACGCCAACTTATACCACACAGAGAAAGCCAAGGCACCAGCAGACCAGAAAGGATTCCACTTAATTCCAGCTTGGTGAACCAATGAGTTTATTTGGATTACTTGTAGAACATGAGAGACTTGAAGGCAGCTACAGAACCAAGTAGTCCCCATGTAACTTAAAAGCAGCTATAACACTCCCACTCCCTTCTCTGTTTACCCTGTAAAATCTGGCACCTTCCCTCTTTCCCCAAGACAATGTTAACATGTTTAACCACCTGGAAGTCATCTGCATGTGATTGCAGCTGCTCTAAGGATGATAATGACCATACCAACACAAAGGACAGCTACATTGCAGGGAAGCACAGAAAAAGTGCTGATGTCATTCTGCAACCACTTCTCACTGGTGCCATGGGTAGAAGCAGAAGGCCCCAGACAGGCTACGGCTCCAGAATGAGTATAGAGAATGGAGCACATAGAGCATAAGGTAGCTCCAGAGAGCACTGAAAAGCAGTGGGTACCACAGGCAAAGTCTACCCATACCACAGTTGAACTGAAGTGCACGTGTTTGGCTCCACTGGCAGAACTGAGTGATGTGGCCAATGCAGTTGCCATGCAGGAAGAGTCAGAACTGCAGAGTTCAACAGAGAAGAGCAGACAGTGTCCTGAGTGGTATGAGGAAGTGAACACTCAGGACACCTGCTTGCTGGTGTCTACAGTTTGAACCTTTACCTCAGCAATGGCTCCCAAGATCCCCAAAACAGAGACAACAGGAATTGCTATTAAGATCCACTTTGGTTCTCCCAAAACCAGCAATGTTTCAGCTCCAAGTGGGCTCTGGGTAGGCCAGCAGGAGCCAGCTGTTACCTTAGGCCTCTTGGTATTTATACCCCAATTCCTCAGAAGATTCCCTTAGAGATTAACAGTCTAAGTTGTGTATAATGGACCAGGATAGGTGTGCCAAGTCCTCTTCACTATAGTGATAGGACAAACCCAGGTACCATATAGGTGCTGCATGGCCTACTGGCTGGCAGGGTAAACAAACATAAGAGACCTAAGGTCTTACAAACACCTCACACAAAAAATGAGAAATAGAAAGCTATTTTATTAACACGCTTTACATTTACAGTTCATTAGCTAATCAACATCAACATGCAAAAATAAGCGCTAGATACAAACCTCTACATATGGTTGTATGTGAATTACAATGGTTCATCTGTTCTGAAAACCCGTCAGTACTTATTTTAGC